TTGTCAAAAATTTAAAAAAAATAATAAAAAAGATAATTTAAGTTCAATTTTCGCGTCACCACCAACAACCACGGTGCTGGTGTGGACTCTCATTTCATCAGCATAGCCATAGATAACTGTCTGGCCCTAGGTAAATTTGGTAAAAATGCACCTGATCGGACATAGAGAGAGAGCCTTAGTATGGGGTCGACTCAGGCGAAATTCTTTTAATGATCATACATTCCGAGATTTTTTTAAAAATAGATAGGCACGGCATTAACGCTCAGAAATATCTAACAAATATTTTTTTTTTAAATTCAAGGATATTAAGAACAAACTATGGTCAAGTCATAGGCCTATATATGTTATCGTTTAGGGCACAGGTGGACAAAGTGTGGGCCGACAGCAATTTTTTTTGCGGCTTTAACACCCTATGTGTGCGGCCCGCCAAGCAACATTGGCTAGAAAACACATTGTTTTTTACGGTCCAACATCGATCATAATTTATGTAAAAGTAATATTAAAACCGGGAATGAAGTGGTGTAAAAGCAGCTTGGAGGTTTTTTGAAGAGCACTGGAAAGATCAAAGTTTGGGTGCTGCCCTCGGCGTTAAATCAGAAATTCACTTTCGGCCCTCCGACCGATTTTTAAGCCCACCCCTGGTTTAGGGCCTGACATTTCATGAGTCTATGATACAGTATAATATTGACAGCAATAGAACATGTATTATATGTGTAGGCCTAATTTTGTCCAACCTATCGTGAAAAGGTACTGAATACTCATGTGCGTGTGAAAGCACTTGCAAAGAATATTTGCAAGTTGTTCTCCGGTGGGACTCGAACCTACGATCACTAGCCCGGCATCATACCTCTACCACCGAGCCTGCACCGTATGGCCAGGGTTGAATTCAAGCCCAAGTAAGCAGCGGGTACTATTTTTGTATATATTTGATATATAATTGATTCTTCTGACGCAAATCCATCACGATAATAACAATTACCATTCACTATAGAACTATCGACATACTTGCAGTGAAGTGAATCTATAATGTATTCATGACGTTATGATGACCTGAAGTGTTTAAAAACGTACACAATAATAGTGGAACCAACTTTAAAATCCCAAACAAAAACGTGCGTGCCAATATTTTATTGCTCTAAAAATATGATTTCAAAAAGTAATTTAGTGCATCGTACCGTACGAAGATAATAACACTTACCACTAACAATAGGACAATCATCGACCACTTGCAGTGAAGTGAATTTAAAATGTATTCATGAAGTTATGATGACCAGACGTGGTTCAAAAATATACACAATAGTTGAACCACATTTAAAATACCACAAACAAAAACGTACGTGACGATATTTTATTGCTTTAGAAATGTGATTTCAAAAAGTATTTTAGTGCATCGTATACGCAAGGGCTTGTTTTGTTTTGTTTAACTCGACAATTATCATTATTATTATTAGTAGTAGTAGTTGTATAGTAGTGGTGTAACGTTTGTTATGTACTGTATCATGCGCTATGGAAGTGGAAGACCATAATGTATTGAAAATGTACCTCTGGTAGGGTCTACAGTACAATCAGTGTAAAAGTGTAAAGGTAGGATAGTTTGAATTTAAACATCCTTTGGTAATGTTCAAAATAAGTGTCAAGGAAATTATGTATGATTGTTGGAAAAATGGTCAACATTTTATTTTTATTTCTCATCCTGACCTTCGCCTGGGCGAACTGGGCGAAGGTCTGGATCCGCGCCTGTTAGATAGAGGGGGTAGGCTCCCACCCAAACCTTCCCCAGGCTCGGTCACGAAGTCAAATCATAGAGAAAAAAAAATTCTTTCTTGTATGTGTATTTCTACATTAAGTAGACGCCAAAATCGATTAAATAAGCTTTTGAAACCCCTAAATTGTCATATTTTTCGAGGGCTTCGAACGTACATTATTTCGTTCATATTGTATGAACTTTTACTGTTCTACCCTTTGGTCAAGCCTTAGAGTCTCCTCAATGAATACCGGTACACTAGGCATGTGTGTTAACAAAAATTTGTTTAAGAAAACTATTATTACGACAACCAAGTATTATAGGCCAGGCTCAAGCGCACTTTTTGTAAATACAGTAGTTATCTTCTGTTAAAATTTATGAGGAAATCACAAAGGATTTTGAGAAGTGAAAACAACTATTGTGTTACATTAATGAATATTTTCATAAAGATTTCTGTTCATTGTGTTCAAAAAGTATTCAGATAGTTTCTGTGTGTCTCTCATAGCTCACAAACTGACATGAAATAATTAATTTTTTTTAATGATTCTTATAGGCTTCTATGGTGCTTGAGAAGGGATTTTGATAATTTTGGCGCGTTTATTGGAGGGAGACGTTTATTTCTGTTGGTGTAAAATTGATATATTGGCCTATATACTAAAATTATGCCCCTTTCAATGTAAATGTTATACTATAACGCATAATTACTCAAAATGTGTTTATTCAATTAAATTCAATTCAATATTTATTTCCTACAAAAGTCATCAATGGGCTATTATCCGCCAAACAAAAAACATAACACTATCGATTATCAACATTTACTATTATAGCCAATAAAAATATTCAAAAACAAGCAGAGTAGTACGGATAGATATATAATTCTATTATACATTATATTATACTTGTCTTTTGGGTATACACGACCATTTGTAAAACAACCTTTGTGTTGAAATGCTATAATGTCTAATTGAAATAAATGAATGAACGAATGAATGAATGATAGAGGCATTGTTTACAGAAGACGGATCGAGATTTAGAGACGAGCAAAGCTTAAGTGCATATGGGAGAAACGAAGATTTGAAACGTTCGGTTCTACAAGAAAGTGTAAGAAGTGAGATGGTCAGTGATTCCCAAGCGAGATAGAAGTTTGACGTCGAGGCGGGAGGAAATCTGTTACTTATTACTTTATTATATAATGACTAATTAATCCCATCTAGATTAGAAAATCATGTAATTTTACTTGATTAGAATATTAATAAAATAATGCTTTGAATGATGAACTGCTTCCATAGTTTTGTTTATAGTCGATCATTTAGGGGGTGTTTATTAGAGAGAGGGAGGCGTTTATTCCAAATTCTGGAGAGTGGGGGTGTTTATTCAAACTGGGGAGTTAATTCGAATGAATACGGTACATATACTATGGATATGAATTCGGAAATAAACAGAAAATAAGTGAAAAAATATATCTGCAACAGTGTTAAAGTCAGTTCCAATACGTCCTCTTTGAATTTAATGTATTTTGTGGTTTTTTTTTCATATTCATAAGTGTCAAATATTGTTATTATTATTATAGAATATAAGTATTATTTCGTTTAATGTATTTTTCATAAATTCCAATTTATGGCTTGCTTTTAACCGATATCTGAAATGGCCACTATGTGCTTTTTAAAATTTTTATCAGTGTCAGATATTATTATTATTATTATTATTATTATTATTATTATTATTATTATTATAGTAATAA